GTCTTTTGCTCTCGCCCTCTCCTCAACATCAAGAGATCCAATAAGCTCAGCCACGCTAAACTCTTGTCTCTTGTGTTTTAGAGAAGTAGCAAAATGCCTCCAACAAGGTGGCAGCTTAGTGATTATACCGCCGGCCACAAACTTATCGGGCAACAAACATGGGAAATGTTCTAGTTCATTTGCTAGCGCCTGTATCTCATGAGCCTGTTCGACTACAGAACGGTTTTCTATCATTTTGTAGTCATACAGCTGCTCCATAAGGTACAGCTCACTACCAGCATCAGAAACTCCAAACTTTGCCTCAAGAATATCCCATAACTCTTTGTCTGATGTGCAAGATATGTAGTTTTTCTCATACTTAGGATGAAGTGCACTAATCACGGCGCCTCGAAACAGGTTATCGGCAGCAAAGAACTTTGGCTCCTCCTCAGGAGTAAACTATTTAGGCTTCCCCTGTGCGACGTGGTAGCAGTTCATCGCAGTCAACCACAATACCATCTTGGCACGCCATATCATGAAATTCTTGCCATCAAAATTATTTGGCTTCAAAGCAACAGCAAAACCACTGACAGAAAATTGCCTAAAATTAGGTTTTTGAATTGTTAGGAATTTAGAAATTTTCATGGTCAATTTAATCCAGAAACATAACATCAGCAGGTTTGTGATTACATATATGTGCTTGTGTATATCACTAACAAACACTACAGCATGCAAACATGACATATAGATCGATACAGTAAGAACATAAAGTACAGTAATCACAAAGATTAGAATGTAATCAGCGGACCCAGCGGAGGGTCCCATGCCGAGGGCATCAGAGGCTCCATTCGCACTAGTCGACATAGTGCGTTGCTCGAAGTCGTGGACCACAGTCGGTGCAGGACGGTGTTCGCAATATAGTCCCACGAATGGATCACCAGGAAGAAGACGCCTTGCTGTTCCGCAAGCAATCACCGGGAAGAAGACGGATTCCGATAGCGATCGCCACCAGGAAGAAGACGTACGTGACAGAGATCTGGACTAATGGAGGACTACGGATATATGGCTGCGATGGGAAGAGAGAAAGGCAGCAGAGAATCCCAGGAGACGGAAAGCGTTAGGGACGGTAACTGGCGCAATCAACTCGCCTCCACCATCAAGGAGAGAAACTCCCGTGATTATGTGGATATAAATGGGAAAAGACTGGCCACGCCCGCCCACCTGCCTGCCACGCCATGGCCTCGGCCCACACCCGCGCCTGCGCCCACGGCCACGGCCACGGCCCGGCCGACGGCGGCGGCAGCGGCACGCGCGCGTGTGGCACGCCTATGTCCTTTTCTCAGCTTCTCAATTAAGATGAATAATTTTCAACCATATAAGCTAAGTCAATGTTCAGTCAAAATCCCATATGGTATTAAACCATACAACGCTTAATGTTACGTACCATAGAGTTTTATTTGATTTATTAAATATTATACGGGCCAAGCCCATAATATATCCAACACGGTTCAACACAATAGTAGCGGCTAGAGTTGGGCCCAGGACTTATGTGAGCATTAGTCCCGGGTCTAAGTTTGATGGACATCAGTATAGTCCCGGTTAGTAACATCAATCCAGACTAAAGAGTCTACAATAGTCCTAGTTGATGTTATACCAACCCGGACTCGGTTGGTAACACCAACCTGGACTAAAGTCTTCCGACGGGTTAGTTTAAAGGAAAGCATCCCATCCAAAATCACATGTGCTATGTAGGTGGGGTGGTAAGCTATACCTGAGGCAATTCATGAAGTCTTGAGTTCAAGTCCCATGAGCCACAGGGATGCCTTTCTAAAGTCTTTTCCTAACCAGGACTAAAGCCACGTTTTCTACTAGTGAGACATAAGGGCACCATACTGTTAAGATTCTCAGCTTTGCAGGATGTGGGGGATGCAGACACGATGAGAAAAACCAAGAGAACAGCGGCAATCAAGTGCACGATCTAGCAATCAAGTGCTCATTGTGAGGATGGAACTTTACTTTTGCTCTTAGAATAACAAGAGCAAATTCATGCTGAAAAACGGTGTTGCAGTAATTCACTGATGGAGGGAAGTTGTTGAAGATTGCATCATTTCGGACTCTCCAAATGGACCAGCACATCGTTATGATGGTTTTCCAAGGAGAAGGGGAGGCACAACTGACCCCTCATCAGGATCTCCACAGGCTCACTGGAGTTAGGCAAAGCCAAGTTCACAGTGGCCCAGCAGACTGAGGCAAAGTTGCAATCAAACAACAGATGGAAAAGACTTTCTTCTATATACCGAAGTGCATAGAACACAAGAGTAATCTTCAAGAGCCATATTCTTGCATTTTAATAGCTCTCTTGTGCTGAGTCTATCTTTTATTAGCAACTAAAAAAACAACTTCCTTTTATTCTGACATGAAGTTTTCCATAACCAGTGAAAGATTCGGTGTACTTTTTCGATGACCAATAAGATGTCTTTAAGCCTTATTTGAAGAAAAGTTTGACGACCCCCAAATGTAAGACTAGCTGTCATGTTCATTCTGCATGTGTAATATCTAGACTAGGTCTGTAAGCTTCTGAAATTGAGCATAGGCTTGAAGAGACAAAGGCAGATGGAAAAGGTTTTGACGCATAGAAGTCGAGGTGGCTACTTGAACTGAAATTCTTTTGTTTTTTGACGAAAGAGAGAAGTTTAGGGAAGGCATGGCTTAGAACTCTCCCCCCAGAGATCATGCCCGAATAGTCAGGAAGTACCATCTTTTAAGGAGACTAGAATTGGACCATTGAAGGAGTCTAGGAGCTTGAGAATGTCCCTCTACTAGAATGACCCTTTGAGGCTAGGTCGAGGCAGCCTTCCTCTAGTGTAATAGCTATCCCAGACAAAATGAACCCAGGGAATGTCTCATCTATTGAAAATTTTGTGTAAGTGCTTCAGTAAAAGACTTTCATTCTGAGTTAGGTTTAGCACTCCTAGGCCTCCTTCTTTCTTAGGGGTACAACCATTGGCCAAGCTACTTTAGGTGGTGTCCTATTGTTGACATCAAATCGTCTCCAGAGGTAGTGCTTCCTGAACATGTCAATTTGCTTGATAACTGTTTTGGGGAACCGAAAGGTGCACATAGCAAATATTGGAACAGCACTGAAAACTGCATCAGTTAGTTCTAGACGACTAGCTTGATTTAAGAAAGAAGAGATGGTCACTGTTAGAATGTATATGTGTTGTGTGTGTGTATATGGTAGGTCTACGCCTGGTATAGCCGGCCGGCCCTGTATATTTAGTTAGAGAGATACGAGGAGATCTCTGTTGGTTCTATTTCTATAAACCACGAGATCTCCTCTCCCCTATATATATGTACATAGGTCTCTTCAATCAATATAATCTAATATTCCACGCAATCTCTATTGTTTTCATGGTATCGGAGCTGGAGGTGCAGCGCCGGTGTGGAGGGCAGTGGCAGGAGCGGAAGTGGCCATGGTGATTTCCTCGAGTAGGTGGTTGCAAGCTTGCAAAAACGAGGGGAAGGGGCGCCCGCGACAAAGACGGGTTAGGGTCACACCCTTGCGCCAAGCCACTTTGGTTTACTGCGACAACATCAGCACTGTGTACATGTCTTCCAACTCCATTCAACATCAGCGTACCAAGCATATTGAGGTCGATCTTCACTTCGTTCGAGAACGAGTGGCCCTTGGAGCAGTCCGCGTCCTTACCGTCCCGACGACGTCGTAGTTCGCCAACATCTTCACCAAAGGTTGTCCACTTCTGTCTTCACGGAGTTTCGGTCCAGTCTCAATGTATGACGACTCGATGATGCGACTGTGGGGGCGTGTTAGAATGTATATGTGCTGTGCGTGTGTATATGGTAGGTCCACGCTTGGCGTAGCCAGCCAGCCCTGTATATTTGGTTAGAGAGATATGAGGAGATCTCTGTTGGTTCTGTTTCTATAAACCACGAGATCTCTCCCCTCTATATATATACATAGGTCTCTCCAATTAATTTAATCCAATATTCTACGCAATCTCTATTGCTTTCAGTCACCAATCTTGTTTCACATTTAGACACCAAAGGCAAAAAGTTTGCAACTGAGGGTCTGGTGAGACTAAGGGGTAAAACCAGATATGTGAAGGGTAGAGAGCCTTTTGAGCAACCAATAGTGTTTTCTACAAGATCCAGCCTATGTTTTGATAATTGATTGGAACCATCATGAATTTCTCAAAATTGGATTTGGCAAAGCTAGAAAGCAACTTTTTGAGAAAAGTCAACTAAGTAACATCTCCATGCATAAAGATTAAAGTATGATCTGCGCATTGCAGAGTAGGGAAATCTTGATCTTGACGGTCTGATATATTCTTAGATGCAACTAAATAAATATACCATAGAGAATATGGCCTATGAGTATCTTCTCTCCAAATCCATGTCCTCTTCTAAATGGATTTGTTTTGGTATCCCCGTCTAAACTAAGGTCTGGTATATAAAAGGGAAAATTGGTTGTGTAGCATCAAAAGATCGCGATCTTCGTAAAATACCATCGAAAGTTTACGCCCCCATGAAATAGCACCGAAAGGATCGTCCGTGAACTGGAAGTACCATTCTGTCAAATTTTGCATACAGAAACGTTAACCTAAGCTAAAACCCAGACATGAAATTACATATTTGCCCTTACCTTATCCTATCTCACCCATCTGAGACAGGAAGGCACTCGAGCCGCTCGGTTCTCCGCTCGGCGCTCTCGCTCACCCCTTCCGCCGCCGCCGTGGGTTCTAGCACACGGGTCAAGGCATTGCCTCTGCTGGCCACCGCACGGGTCTGGGCACCGCCTCCATCGTCCACTGCGCTGCGTGCGCGACGCCTCAGCTAGGCCGTCGGGCGCCCCTGCGTGGCGCCTCCTTCAGGTCATCGGCATCCCCTGCGCGGCGTGGCGCCTCCGCCAGGCCGTCGGCATCCCTGCTCACCACCTCCGTCGGCAGCTAGATGCCCCTCCACACTTGACCACACGCAAATGCATGAATCTAAGATTCCCGATGGGTAAGAATAAAACCTTTGCTATCTACTGCATCTCATAACACAACTGAAAATTAGTTGCGGCATGCGATTGTTTGTGATATCCGGTTCATTTGTTTGTGCGATCTGGTATGAGGATGGTCAGTGATGAGAAAGGACTTTTGGAAGCTGTGCTAATTTGTTTGCACTGCTACTATTTTTAGGATCAATCCAACCAATGCATGTAGAGTAGTGATTGATGTTTCATCCTACTCAATTGTTGAGGATGATCGATCCGTGTACAAAAAGGGAAGACGCTTGGATTGGTGGGTGGATGCAGAAGAGTACTCCATCATTGACATGGAGAAATATGTTTTCAAGCACTTTAGTTGGGCTAGCTATCAGGAAGCAAACTTCTGGTTTGTGGGTCGGAATAATCTAACAGTTCATCTTGGTACTGACCAAGAGCTTCTAACTTTGCTGCGAGCTTCAAAATTGGTGGAGTTTATCATGACTATTGATAGATGTGAGCATGTTGATATGGCTTGTACTATGACTGAATTGGAGAATGAAAGACAAGTGCCAAATGAAGAGAATGACCTACAGCTTCAGGTCATAGAAATGTTTTAGGGGATGCATGTGAATGTAGAATTGGATGGTCTAGAATGGGCCTTGCAACAGCAACTTGGTGTTACAGCTACTGGTCCTTCCAGAGTAGAGGACGAGGAGGGTGACCAATATATGGAGCCCGGTGTTGACCATGAGGGAGATGATCAAGTTGGTGCTGATGAAGAGTGGAGGTATTTCAATAAGTTACATGAAGTAGGAAGTAATGAGAAAGTGCAACAAGAAAAGAAGAAAATGGACAACAACAAATTTGTAATTGAAGACATAGATCCTAAGGCTGTGCCAAGTGATATGTGAACTTCTGGTTTTGGCTGACAACAAAGATTGACTTCAATATTGTAGCCTGAGAGGTTTGTATTCTAAAACAAAAGGAGTTAAATACACCAACAGGCTTCTCATGGATGGTGGCCTTCCACGGTGGATTAGCCACGACAGCCTCGTCACGATCTTCATCTCAGCACGGGGATGTTCTAAGTGCGGATGTAAGTGGAGTAGTGGTCACTATGCCAAACTAATGCAACAGAAAATATGTGTTCCCAAGATTCAAACTCAGGACCTCAATGTTCTCTCAAGCATCCATACCATTTGAGAAACAAAAGCGATATGTAAAGAGCTAAAGATATAGAAAGGTCAAACTCCTAGAGATATGATGATACATTGTGGTATCGGTTGGCAAATCGCAACCCCTAGTCCATGTTCAAGCTCCACACCAAGTTACGCTCACGGTCACCAAACCTCTCCTAGTCTCGATGTTAGATTTGAAACACAAGGCATCCACTAACCAATGGCTAGTGAGTCACAAAGTCTAATCACCACCACCCAACTCTTACAGTCACCTTGATTTTGTGTACACTACAGAGCTTCTCCAAACTAGGGAGGGGTCTCTCCTCATCCTCCACACACCTATAAGACGCTACTTCACATGAAGAACTATGGGTTGCTACCTGGAAGGCCACCACACCATTATCGGAAAGGTCATAAAGACCTCAAGAGCTCTGGCTCACCAATTGCGAGGACACAATAGCCCAATCCAATTAAAGTACTTGAGGTTTTTGTAACTTTCTGGTGAAAGTGTGGTGGCCTTCTAGGTATAGTGACTCTCCATTCTCGGTGAGGAGCAGTGTTGTATCGGTGTGGGTGATGATTAGGACACCCCCTCCCTCATGCAGAGAAGCTCCATATTGTACACAAAATCAAGGTGACCGGAAGAGTCGACCTTGTTTTTCGTGGCACTAGCAGCCTTTAGTTGGTAGATGCGTTATATTGAAAATCCCACACCATACTGACAGAGACTTGGTGACCGGGAGTGTATCTCTTTGGAATGGAAATGGGATTTTCATGTACTTGCCCTACATACACATCTCTCGCTTCTGTATTTTATTTTGATGAAATGGAAATGTGTTGATCTAAGGTTCAAAAACAACCAAATCCAAAGGGAAAGAAACATTTTAACCAAGTGATCCCTCCATGGATCCATCATAAAATACAAGACCAAGCATCCAAATTTTGTTATAAATTATAAGAGACTCTTGTTGAGCCAATCATCCAACTTAATTTTACAAGACAACATTCACATGCACATCTACTGTTAGTTTCTACAAAATACGAACACAAGGAAGGATTACCATATAATATTTTCTAGAGTACCTTGTATTCTATGATAACGGGAGTAGTACCATAACACACCATTAGAAAGTCGTAAAGTGCTGTATTCAATGAATGTTGGATAGCGAGCACATTCATGCAGGTTATTTGATTAAGTTTTTCTATGGGAAAACTTTGCTATACTAAGTTAGACAATTACTAATCGGTTTGATTTGTTCCTACAAGCTACTTAATTTTATATTGATTTGCTCAAGTTATACTTATAGAGCAAAACAAGATTATGGGCCCCCTCATTAGTCAATGGCAAGAAGCCTATGTGTAATTTTACTAGTCTTGTTTCTTTCCTGAATGGCTGTAACGTTCTTTTGGATTTTAATAAAATCCCAGAAGGGGGACCCCTCCTGTTTCCCTCAAAAAAGAATTATATTTTTTTCACCCCCTAAATTTATATTTTTATTAAATGTATGTCAAGTTCACTTTTTTGTGTGATGATATCACTACTATAGTAACAGTTTACAGAGGCGGTCAAAACAAATTACTGCCTCTGCATCATCATCACTGTAAGGGCTAGTTTGGAAACTCAAATCCACTTGGGATCCCTAACTGTTTTCAGGGTGGGAAATCCATGGGGACATAATTTGAATAATTATTTAGTTCTTCATGGAGGGTTTTCCATCCCTGGGTGTGCCTCCCTTGCTTCCAAGTTAGCCCTAAATGAATGTTTCTAGAGGCAGTACTCCATGTCAGACTCTGTTAATATAATCAAAATGACAAAGTAAAAATAGGCCCAGGTGTCCAACCGGACCGGTCATCAGGGCCTCGATTTGGGTCATCAGGGCACCGCGCTATGGCGTTTGGCACGTTGCCACACCATCGTCATGTCTGCACACCTCCACAAGAGACATCAAGGTCCATGCCATTGCACCTATGAAGCCTGCGAATTGGGAGGGAGACAAAGAGAGCGAGGATGAGCACCAGTGGTCTCGAGGTTGAGAGAGGAGGGAGAGAAGAAGGGCTGACCTCTGCAGTCGAGAGATCCACAGCCTCTTGCCCAAGATCCACCGACTCTGGTCCTAGATCAACCGCCTCTGATCTGAGATCCACTAGGCCAGACCGCGTCCATGACGACCTCCACTGCTGGGACGAGTGTGGCCTCCATCATCGGGGTGTGCAGCCTCCAGCCACCATGGCTCATGTGGCCTCCACTGCCGACACCAAGAAAGGGTAAGGGAGAGAGGGGCGCACGTGGCCTCCATCGGTTTGGTGAGGGAGAGAGGAGGTCGCATGAGGAGGAGAGAGGAGTGACGCAGACGAATGAGGGAGATAGAGGATTGTGATGTCAGGGTTTTCACTTCATTTATATAGTCAAGACTGATAAACGGGCTAAGGTGGGCCTTAAGACATTGTTTACACCAAAATTTGGAAGGAGAGTCGCAGGGACTCGAAGGCTTCCAAGATCATGTTATCAAGGAATCAATTGTGTGCAGATCGAAACTAGCTGATTCGGATGCAAAAACTGGAGTCGGCTTTCTTCAGATAGCGCCAGCGGATAACGACAAATGCTACGTTCGGCGCCAGGACGAGACATGTTGGACTCTACAAAAAGGGAAAGATTAGAGTCCAAGTTATCTTAAATTAGGAATGTTTTCTCTAGGGTCAAAAATTGTGATGAGTCGTGCTTAGATAGGAGTCATGCGCAGGTCCCGGGTATAAATATCAAACCCTAGCTATTGTAAAAGACAATCAATCCAATATACAAGTTATTTACTTTTTCGGCTCCGGCCACCCCTTAGGAGTAGGAGTAGAGTAGATCTCGGCGAGTTCTTCAGCAAGTACAGCTGTATCGATCCGGTCGACCTCCACTGCTTGTTGTAAGTACCGTCATGGCTTATACCTCTGTTCGTACGGCTGCATCGATCCAGTCGACCTCCACTGCGACTTTAGTATAAGTTAGTTATCGATTCTTGCCTAGTTCAAGTATGGCTGCATCGATCTGGTCGACCCCCACTGCATGAACTAGATCAAAGTCAAGTTATCGGCTCTATCTTAGAATGGCAGTCTCTGGTAGATTCATTAAGTTACCGATATTGCTTATTGCTTTCATTATTTATCTAAATTACAGCAATATCACTCTGCCTGATTGGGATTGATCTAGATCGGCCTTATATCTTGTTTAGCCCATCGTTTGTTAATCTGAAACTGATCTAATCTACACATTAAACGATGAGTTATGTTTCATCTGCTGTTTTACATCAATCTTGATCGTGCATAGCGTGTGGTTAAAGCATGTTGCGTCTTGAGTAGATTTATTAGTTAGCGAAAACCGTTCCATGGCCTGTTATCACGGCCTGTGTGATTCTGCCTCACACCCCACTGTTTGCATCGTGGAGTGGGGATCGTTATTTGGTAGATCTATTCCTGATAAGGCATGACTTTAACTGTGCGCTATGTCTGAATCGGCTGTTTTAGCCGATATCGAGTGCTTTAACGAACAGTTCGCATCACGAGACCATTGAAGTAAAGATAGGTTAAAAGATGTGTTAGCCCCATGATCTTATTATTATATTATGGCCTGCATGATTCTGCCTCATGCCCCACTGATATTAGTAATGAGTTAGGGTTGTCGAGTCTATTGTTATTTCTATGGCCTGCATGATTCTGCCTTATACCCCACTGGTCGTAGCGATAGATGAGATCTAACATGTTCATTAGATTTATCTTTACTAAACGATTAAATGGTGTTAAATTGTTTCTTTATATGAAAAGGGGTTCGGTTACTTATAATCATTGGCTTAGCATAAACCAATCATTGTTGATATCTTATTGTCATTGATTAATATTTGTTCAAATAATAACATTTATCTTGAATGATAACCGATTCTTCTTATACAACACAATGTGTTTTAACCGATTTATTCTCACGAATATGCTGGAATCGACTGTTTAGTCGATCTCCTTTCATATCGGCTCTCAGAGCCGTACATTCGGGACTGTCTGGCAACACCGGCACGTTCCGCCCTTAATTGATGATAAATTTTCTCTCCTTATCAATTACAGGGTCAAATTGATTGGCACGTCTCGGGAGGAGTGCGCAGGATCGACCATCCCTGCGCTGAAGCTAGGCGGATCTACAGTTCCATCGAGCAGACCCTTCCGGCTTACTGCGTGTGTCCTCGGTACGGGACGAAAATTCTGTGTTGACAGACAGGTACCGGGCTAGGTACAATTAACATAGGTGGGCCACTTAAGGAATCAGAGGTCTGCCTATGTTAATTGATTTATAGAGATGGACCACAGTTTGTTGCCTCCGTAAATCGAATGAATGTCTTTGGAAAGCGCTGATCATTATTTTAGGATATTTTAATATTTTGTGCCTGCCTCTATAAATAAAATGAGGTGTCTCCGAAAGTCCTTTTTGTGGTAGTGTATATCACATCATGAGCTCCATTAGAAAAATACTTTGATTTTATTATTTTCTGTCTCATATATATCCTCCATTTAAATTAATGTTTCAAATACAGAGGAGGCAATTAAGGTAATTGCAAAAAGATCCAAAATATAACTGTAAAGTATAGTAAATATATCAATTATCGCTATACAATATTTGAACCTGAAATACAAATTATGCAAGGGAAAAAGGAAAACACAAATTATGCAAGGGGAAAAGGACCAATATAATAATGCGGTGATTT